AGGGCCGACAATGGGGCTCGATTCCATAGAGCAGTCACATCACCCATCAGTGTCCACTGCTATAGGAATTGCTGGGGTGGAGGGTAGAATTCCTTCCCACCAGCCGCACATCACATCACATCACACAGAGGAAAATGTTGCCGTCACTTGACCACATAAACTGAATTTGGAGCAGTGGAGGCGGAGTTTAACCGTTTCAATACCGGGCAATTTTACACCTTCCTGCCCAGGCCATTTTTCAGGTTTCAGCGCTCTCACACTTTGAATGACAATTGCGCGGTCATACAACATTGTACCCAAACTAAACTTTTATCATTTTTTTCACTCAACTAGAGCTTTCTGTTGGAGGTATTTAATCACCGCCGGGGTTTTTATTTTTTGCTAAATTAGCAAAAAAAGACCAAAAATTAAAAAAAAAAAGAAGTTTTTCTTTGTTTCTGTTATAAAAGTTTGCAAATAAATAATTGTTCTTCATAAATTTAGGCCGAGATGTATTCTGCTACATGTCTTTGGGGAAAATAACCCAGATTAGGATGTATTTTTTAGTTTGTAGGAAAGTTATAGAGTTCACAAACTTTTTTTTTTTTTTAGAAATCATACTGTCTCTAAGACAGAAATGAGCGGTCAAAGACCACTGATCACTCAGTTCTCAGTGCTTCGTGAGCAGAGAGCTGATGAGTGTCAGTCACCTCTGTCTGCTCTGCCCCTCCAGCTCTCTAGCCCTGTGAAGGGGGCAGGTGCGGCTGGCTTGGCCTCTCAGCGGATCGCTGAGAGGCTGAGCCAGGTGCCGGCCCAGGGATATGAGTGGATCTCGACTTTAAAGTCAGGTTTTTTCCCAGCCTGGATCGGCTGAGTGACATCAGGCAACAGCAGAATTTAGCTTGCTGTTGACTGCAAAAAGGTAACAACAGTGCATAAGGAATGCAATCGCCTTTGATCCAAAGAAGTACAGCCAAAAGAGCTTTGTGATATACTGTGTGCATCAATAGAAACACACAGCCTGAAGACTAGAATACCAAGGCACTCCTCTGCTCCTCCCCCCCCCCTTCTCCAAGCTAACAGACTGGCTCCAGACTGCACTGTCCAGTGTAACTCTTTCCTGTTAAGACCTGAGGTTCATGGAAGCAGCACTGAGAGAGCAGGTACCAGCAACATTGACAGATTGAAGTGGGGGGGGGGGGGGGGGGGGGCAAGAATTGGGAGAAGACTGGGAGTTTAGGCAAGACCAGGGATGGAGGTGGGTCAGACTAGAGAGGAAGGAGAAGAAGCAACATCCATCTGCTGTGCTTCTGATTTCCCCGCTTCAGGGACAGGGTGCCCTGGGGTTCCCCACCATAGCCCCGAGAGAGAAGGAGAGATCCAACGGGTCAGTTCAGGTCCAGAAGAAAACCTTAGGAGTGGGAGTGAGGGGCGAAGCTGTACAGCCAGGAGGGTGGAGAGGGGTTCAGTCTCTGCCCGCCACCTATACATCGGGGAGAGCTGATGGGCAAATTATCATTTTGCCCGAAAGGTAATTTCTTGTTGGGGGTCGGCTCAGCTGCTTGCCATGGCCACACAAGAATCAGCCTGACATTGTCCAACATGCTGAGGGTTTAATACAGTGGTTCTCAACCTGTGGGTTGTGACCCCTTTGGGGTCGAACGACCCTTTCACAGGGGTCCCCTAAGACCATCAGAAAACATATATTTCCGATGTGTAAAGAGCAGCTACTGTGTAGAAAGCAGCTGCTGTGTTAAAAGCAGCTACTCTGTTAAAAGCAGCTACTGTGTCGAAAGCAGCAGTATTGGAGGTAAAACGACACTCATGAATTATAATTACTGGGTAAATAATTTTATGGTTGGGGATCACCACAACATGAGGAACTGTATTAAAGGGTCACGGCATTAGGAAGGTTGAGAACCACTGGTTTAATAGGACATTAACTTCTACTTTAACCACTTCAATACCGGGCACTTATACCCCCTTCCTGTCCAGGCCAATTTCCAGCTTTCAGCGCTGTCACACTTTCAATGACAATTGCGCGGGGTCATGCAACACTGTACCCATATGACATTTTTATCAGTTTTTTTCACACAAATAGAGCTTTCTTTTGGTGGTATTTAATCACCACTGAGTTTTTTTTTATTTTTTTGCTAAATAAAACAAAAGACACCTGAAACTTTTGAAAAAAAAAAAACACTTTTCTTTGTTTCTGTTATAAAATTCTGCAAATAAATAATATTTCTTCATAACTTTATGTCAAAATGTATTCTGCTACATTTCTTTGGTGAAAATAATAATAATAATTGAATATGTATTTTTTTTTCAAATGTTTCTATTATTTTTTTTATTACATTTTTCCTTTTTTTTACTATTTTATTTTTCAGCATACTGTGACCAAAGCAATACAATGTTACCACAGTAACAATGAACTATTCTGGGAAAGTGATCAGGATTTTTTTGTTTTAACACATTATGATTGCCAATACCGATGTATTTCATTGATATTTGAAATCATTGTTACTGAATGAAACTGATTCATTCAGTCTTTTGTTGTGATTAGCTGTGATTGGGCAAAGCTGATCACATGATACAGATAGGCTGTGATTGGCCCTGTCTGTAACATGTGACTGCCTTGAGCAGTCACAGCTAACAACATAATTGTATGCGATGAATGGCATGGCAGGAAGCCATCCATTGTATACAATTAACATGTAATCTGCTGTGATTGGTCACAGCGGTCACATGACACTGGCAACGGCCCGGTGTAGTGATATGTCATCGGCTGTGTCCCGTGGGCGCAGCCAGTGACAGATCGCGCCGCAGCGAGGCCCCGCGGCCGCGTGAGCAGCTCGTTTTGACAGGACGTCATATGACGCCCAGTCACAATGTTGAGTGTCCCACCTGGCCGTCAATCTGCTATAGGCCTGGCGGGAAGGTGTTAAAGTATATGTACACCCAATCACTTAAATCTTCTATCGTCATGCTAATGTTGACATGCTAACCTCATTTCAAAAGTTTTTGTCATTAGTTTTCAATTTGAAGCTTTCATTAAAACAGTTCCTGGGGATGCTGTCATGGAGACTCTACTTTGGACACTTTCTGTTTAAATTTTCCCCCCATTTCTTGATTTTAGAGCAATTCAAACTCCTAATTTTGCTCACCCATAATCGGCTTTGTTAATGTAGTACTACCCCCTTAGGAGTCACTAGAGATTTGGGTCCCCCTCTATAGTCCTGCACAGCCAGGCAACACCCATCTTCACAAAGACTTGCACCCAGAGTGTAAGGGAATTCCTGTGAAATGGCTGGCTGATGGAAATGAGCATGCGCACAGAAATATCCGCAGAATAGGGACCAGACGTACGTATACGCACATAAATACGCACCTGCACACGCACAGCAAATCTTGGCGCTAGACGGACTATTTGAAGGATGCCTCTGCCTGTGCTTAGTGCTGACTGGTCTTCAGCTGTTTCCCTGTGTCCTGCTGTGTTCCTGTATGATCCCCTTGTTGCTGACCCGGCTTGTTCCTGACCTGACTTCTGATTCCTCTCCTGCCTTGATGATCGTTCCTAACCCCGGCTCTGTTCCTGACCTCGGCTTTCTTATAATTTGGTACCTCGCTGTCCGCCCATTGATGACACGGCTATTCCTGTGATGTTTCCTGTCTCCAATCCCTGTCCTGCTCAAGAGCTTGCCTGGCTGTCTACTATACCAGCTCTGCACACCATAAACTGTTCCTGCTTCAAGTCTGCTGGGAGATCTGACACGCCACTTATCCTGATCCGGTTGTGCAAGCGGAGTGCCCTTTTAACCCAGGTGGGATTCCGAAACATCGCTAACGTTCCTGAACTGGTGGTTCGCCAGTCTCTTAAGGACTCCAGCTGTAAGATCTTCAGGCAACACCTGCTGGCACTCTTGTTCCCCTGGTTCCTAGGCACCCTCTATTCCACTTCCAGCGGGGTCAGGGCTAGTGACACAAGTGAGGCCGACCTCGTCATTTTATTCTCCTATCAGGTACGTGACACAGAGTCAGAAACCAGTCCTTGAACTTTGGTTTTGTTATTTTTATTTAGGGGATTTGAACTGGGGTAGGGTTAGGGGTGTACATGATGCCCAAGGGAACTGATGAACTCAGGACAACTTCCTGGAACTATCTACAAGCCTTCACTGCAACACAGTCTCTGTCGGAGAGCTAGGCAGCGTCTCCTTAGTATACCACCCCAGACCCTAGATGAATTCCTCCTCTTCACCCAGCATTCTAGAGGTATCCATGAACAGGGGATCCAGTTACTTTCACTTTAAGACATGGACAGTCACTGGCAGGTGGTGAATCTGGTTTCCCACCAGGGCTCCTTCCCCTATCTGCTCAAGGGGTGTAGGTGTACTCACTCAGATCTTCTCCTGTACTGTGTGTGGGTGGCTGCTACCAGGTCTATCAGCTGGGCTGCTCCTTCCCTGCCTCACCCTGGGGCCAGTGAAGCTCTGAGCTTGCTTCTTTTCCATCTCCAGGCCTACAGGTACGCCCCATCCCACTGGGCCTCCTCTCAGCCTCCTTCCTTCAGCCTCACATCTTCCTCACTGTCTTCCACCCAAATGCTACCGTCCTGCTGCTGAGCAAGCGTCAACACTTTTGAGGGCATCCTGGCCCCTTGCCAAGGCTCCTGTTGGGGATTGGCCGGGATCCCTCAAAAGTACAAACTAGCAACTCCTCAGATCCACCCATTGCCTCTAGGCCTTCCTTCAAAGCTCTAGAGCAACGAGAAATTCCAAAGTGGCTGGCCTGCAGAGCCTCTGAGCTCCTGACCACATTTTGACTTTCTAACTATAACCCCCAGGCTGCTACTCAGCTCTCCTCTCTCTATCCCCTAACTAGGAGCTGATGACACGCAAATCTATCTGTCTACCCCTCACCTCACCCCTTCAGTTTCCACCGCTAGCCTACTAAGCGACATATCGGCTTGGATGTCACTCCACTTCCTCAAACTCAACCTTTCCAAAACTGTGCTCCTAGTTTTCCCCCCAGCCCGTGCCACCTCCCCTGACTTCACCATAAATATCGATAACACCATCCTCAGTCCATCCTCTCACGCCAGAGTACTAGGTGTAATCCTAGACTCCCATCTGTCCTTCCAGCCCCAGATCCAATCGCTGACAAAATCATGTAGACTTCACCTCCGCAACATCTCCAAGATACGACCGTTCCTAACCTCGGAAACCACTAAGCAACTCATTCACTCGCTTGTCATATCACGCCTTGACTACTGTAACTCCCTCCTCATTGGCCGACCTCATCTCAGGCTATCCCCTCTTCAGTCTATCATGAACGCTGCTGCCAGACTCATCCACCTCACTATATCCACCTCTGTATCTGCCACCCCTCTCTGCCAATCCCTCCACTGCCCCCACTCATGTCCTCCATCCCTCTCTTCCACTCCGCTGGCCCCACTCAGTGTCCTCCATCCCTCTCTTCCAATCCCTCCGCTGGCCTCCACTCAGTGTCCTCCACCCCTCTCTGCCAATCCCTCCACTGGCCTCCACGTCAGTGTCCTCCACCCCTCTCTGCCAATCCCTCCACTGGCCTCCACTCAGTGTCCTCCACCCCTCTCTGCCAATCCCTCCACTGGCTCCCAGTTGCCCAACGGATCAAATTAAAAACTCTAACAATGACATATAAAGCCATCCACAACTCTGCCCCAATTTACATAACCGATCTTATCTCTAAATATCACCCAAACCATACACTCCGCTTCTCGCAAGACCTCTTACTCTCTAGCTCCGTTGTCTCCTCCTCCCCCATGCTCGTCTCCAAGACTTCTCCAGGGCATCACCCATCCTCTGGAACACCCTACCCCAATCTATCAGACTGTCACCTACTCTACTTGCCTTTCGGTGATCACTGAAAACCTTTCTCTTCAGGGAAGCCTATCTCGACCTCTGCTAATTTCTGGAATCCTCCACTCTTCCATCCTAGTCCATCCCCCACAGTGACTACCTACTGTACCATTCACCCCTCCCTCCTAGATTGTAAGCTCCCAGGATCAGGGCCCTCCTATCCCTCTTGTATTGAACTGTATTGTTGCTGTATTGTCTCCCACTATAATGTAAAGCGCTGAGCAAACCGTTGGTGGTGCTGTATAATAAAATCCTGTATAATAATAATATATATATAAAATCCTGTATAATAACATATAAATCCTGTATAATAATAATAATATATAAATCCTGTATAATAATAATATATAAATCCTGTATAATAATAATAATAATAATATATAAATCCTGTATAAATAACATATAAATCCTGTATTATAATAATAATATATATAAATCCTGTATAATAATAATAATATATAAATCCTGTATAATAATAATAATAAAAATCCTGTATAATAATAATAATAATATATAAATCCTGTATAATAATAATAATATATAAATCCTGTATAATAATAATAATAATAACTAGGAGGGGGCGCTACATTAGCAACATGGGGCTAAGAGTGCTTTGTGCAGTAATTATAACCAACCAATCAAACATCAGTTTTCACTACCTTAAGCCTAGTACACACAATCAGAAAATCATATGAAAAATACAGCATTTGAATCCAATGTATGAAAATTCTATAAATTTCAGTACAAATTATAAATATATATAAAAAAATATATACAAGTATAAATTACAGTACAGCTCTCGTCCAAAAATACAATACAATATACTGCATCACTTCCAGATTTTTATTCTGTCATACGAGAATTTTTGTAACTTTAGTAACCTCTTCACCTTCGATATGAGACTAGCATGCAACAAAAAAAGGGCCGATCATTCGTCTGATATTCTCATCGTGTGTATGGGGCCTTAGCAAGGGCAGCCCATGAAATCTCAATTCTTATTGGCCATGTTCTTTTAATGCTTATCACCGCTAAGAGTCTGTAAATAAAGGAAGCGCAGAGCCGTAGAACGCTTCCAGATGACTGAACCACCCTTTCACGTTTCCTCTAATTCATTGCAACATATCAACTCCGCGATCCCCCCGTCCTCCATCTTATCTGAATGGCGGATTTTCTCTGGGTATAATTTATGCTGCCAACACAGCCGCAAATTCTCAAAATATAAGAGCATAAAGTATTTACTGGGTCGTCTCTGTATATAAATCTGATTTGTGCATTAAATGACTGTATGTATTTGTTCACAGTGGTGAAGCATCTGGATAAATCCAATTTATTCTTGCTGTAAGTGTGTCATTGCAATCTATGACTATATATCAGCACAAAACACATTCCCAAACAACTGCCTTAAATCTTCCTCTCCTCCACCCGACAAGAAAAGGGTAATCCTGAATATTGAGTGTAGCTACACAAGCTGTATGGAGCGCTACAATAGAATTAGGCTTCGTAATCACAGATATCCAGGGCTGCGGGGCCACAGCAATGAAAGCAATGTTGGGTTTTTTTTTAGACATTATGAAAATTTAACCGAAATCCAAAAATGATTTCCTTTATTGAGCCAGCGATTCTCAAACTGAAAGGTCTGGAGTCCAAAGTACACGGCTCAAAAAAATGAAAGGAACACTATGAAAATACATCAGATCTCAATGGGGAGGAATCTCCTGCTGGATCTCTATACTGACATGGACGGGGTGATGTGTTAGGAATGTAAGGACGCCCCATCGTTTGATGGAAATGAAAATGATCGACCTACAGAGGACTGAATTCAAAGACACCCCGAAAGTCAAAGTGAAGAAATGATGCAGAAGGTGAGTCCATTTTGCTGAAATTTCATTGAAGCAACTCAGAATGGTCCTCAGTAGATTGTGTGGCCCCCACGTGCTTGTATGCATGCCTGACAACGTCGGGGGAGGCTCCTAATGAGACCACGGATGGTGTCCTGGGGGATTTCCTCCCAGATCTGGACCAGGGCATCACTGAGCTCCTGGACAGTCTGAGGTGCAACCTGGCGGCGTCAGATGGACCGAAACATGATATGTTCTATTGGATTTAGATCAGGCGAGCGTGGGGGCCATTCAATGGTATCAATTCCTTCATCCTCCAGGGACTGCCTGCATACTCTCATCCAGGGGTGGACTGACCATTTGGAAACTTGGGCACTGCCCGAGGGCCCGGGCTCAGTAGGGGGCCCCATGAGATGCCCCTAGTACCTTTTTCATAGGCTTTTTTGAGTTTGGGCAAGGACACAGGGGCCCCATGATCCCTATTGCCCAGGGCCCCATGAGTTGCCAGTCAGCCCCTGCTCTCACCACATGAGACCGGGCATTGTCGTGCACCAGGAGGAACCCAGGACCCACTGCACCAGCGTAGGGTCTGACAATGGGTCCAAGGATTTCATCCGCATACCTAATGGAAGTCAGAGTACCATTGTCTAGCCTGTAGAGGTCTGTGCGTCCCTCCATGGATATGCCTCCCCAGACCATCACTGACCCACCACCACAACAGTCATGCTGAACAATGTTACAGGCAGCAGAACGTTCTCCTCGGCTTCACCAGACCCTTTCACATCTGTCACATGCAGGGGTGGACTGACAACTCATGGGGCCACCGGGCAATAGGGGATCATGGGGCCCCTGTGTCCTTGCCCAAACTCAAAAAAGCCTATGAAAAAGGTACCACGGACATCTCATGGGGCCCCCTACTGACTCCGGGCCCTCGGGCAGTGCCCGAGTTTCCAAATGGTCAGTCTGCCCCTGGTCACATGTGCTCAGGGTGAACCTGCTCTCATCTGTGAAAAGTACAGGGCGCCAGTGGTGGACCTGCCAATTCTGGTGTTCAATGGCAAATGCCAATCAAGCTCTATGGTGCCCGGGCAGTGAGCACAGGGTCTACTAGAGGACGTTGGGTCCTCAGGCCACTCTCCCTCATGAAGTCTGTTTCTGATTGTTTGGTCAGAAACATTCACACCAGTGGCCATTTTTCTGAAATGTCATTGCAGCAACTCAGAATGGTCCTCAGTAGTTTTTTGGGCCCCCACGTGCTTGTATGCATGCCAGACAATGTCGGGGGAGGCTCCTAATGAGACCACGGATGGTGTCCTGGGGCACTTCCTCCCAGATCTGGACCAGGGCATCACTGAGCTCCTGGACATTCTGAGGTGCAACCTGGTGGCGTCGGAGGACCGAAACATGACATCCCAGAGGTGTTCTATTGGATTTAGGTCAGGCGAGAGTGGGGGCCATTCATAGTCAGGGATGGAGACTATTTCACACCCAAATATCTCTCTGAGCCTCTGAATTACGGGACCCATCTCAGGACTCAATAATCCTGAGAAAACTGAATATCAGGTTTCACTCTTTACCGTGTGTACTCAAACTGCTTCTTGTTACCTTCTTAAAGGGCCCACAACCCTTACTTCCCATCCAGGACTCTTCCCTGGAGTCCTGTACAAGGACTACAAAATTGGCATAGCATTGGTTATACAGTCATGGCCGAAATTGTTGGCACCCTTGATATTTTTCCTGAAAATCAAGTATTTTCACACAAAAAAGGTATTGCATTAACACATGTTTTGCTATACACATGTTTATTCCCTTTGTATGTATTGGAACAAATATAAAACAGAGGCAGAAAAGCAAATATGACATAATGTCACACAAAACCCCAAAAAATGGGCTGGACAAAAGTATTGGCACCCTTAACTTAATATTTGGTTGCACACCTTTGGAAAACATAACTGAAATCAGTCGCTTCCTATAACCATCAATAAGCTTCTGACACCTCTCACCCGGAATTTTGGACCACTCTTCCTTTGCAAACAGCTCCAGGTCTCTCTCTTATTGGAAGGACACCTTTTCCCAACAGCAATTTTAAGATCTCTCCACAGGTGTTCAATGGGATTTAGATCTGGGCTCATTGCTGGCCACTTCAGAACTCTCCAGCGCTTCTTTGCCATCCATTTCTGAGTGCTTTTTGACGTATGTTTGGGGTCATTGTCCTGCTGGAAGACCCAGGATCTTGGACGCAAACCCAGCTTTCTGACACTGGGCCCTACAGTGCGACCCAAAATCCTTTGGTAATCCTCAGATTTCATGATGCCTTGCACACAGTCAAGGCACCCAGTGCCAGAGGCAGCAAAACAACCCCAAAACATCATTGAACCTCCACCATATTTTACCGTAGGTACTGTGTTTTGTTCTTTGTAGGCCTCATTCCGTTTTCGGTAAACAGTAGAATGATGTGCTTTACCGAAAAGCTCTATCTTGGTCTCATCTGTCCACAAGACGTTTTCCCAGAAGGCTTTTGGCTTACTCAAGTACATTTTGGCAAACTGTAGTCTTGCTTTTTTATGTCTCTGTGTCAGCAGTGGGGTCCTCCTGGGTCTCCTGCCATAGCGTTTTCATTCATTTAAATGTCGACGGATAGTTCGCGCTGACACTGATGCTCCCTGAGCCTGCAGGACAGCTTGAATGTCTTTGGAACATGTTTGGGGCTGCTTATCCACCATCCGGACTATTCTGCGTTGCAATCTTTCATCAATTTTCCTCATCCGTCCACGACCAGGGAGATTAGCTACAGTGCCATGGGTTGCAAACTTCTTGATAATGTTGCGCACTGTGGACAAAGGCAAATCTAGTTCTCTGGAGATGGACTTGTAACCTTGAGATTGTTGATATTTTGCCACA